ACAGATGTGTTCAGATGGTTCCAGGAGTTAGACCTGCAGGCTGGGGGCAGAGCAAGTATCACTGTCAAGAGACAGTGGCACAGAGGAACCTCTCAAGCACGTCTGTGCCCATTCTTCAGAGGTGGCTGTCTGCTTCTGACCTCATCTGGCTCACCCAAAAAGGCCCCCAGCGTCCTAGGTGGATCTCAAGTCACCCCCATAGCCCACAGACTGAGAACTTAACGTCCTCCCTCACTTGCTCTCTCTGTTGCTCACGTCCCACTTCCTCTGTGGTTCCCTTTGCTCCCATGGGCCATCAGCTTCCAATCTGTTTCCTCTGTTCCCTGCTGCAGGGTGTCAGTGAGAAGTCCTCTGACTGGGCCTCCTCCTCACTTCCTACAACACCTCACCCCTTCCTCATATCTATCTTCCTTTCATGTGCCCCACAGATCACCATGCCACTATCTTCAGCAAGTACAGCCCTCATGACATCACAGGGTTGCTCGCTGGCTGCAGAATGGGTTTGAGGTCTTGCAGCCCAGTTTCTATTTTCTTCTTGGGTCTCTAGCTATTTTCCCATCTTAGGTTCGAAGTTCCACCACCAACTGCCTCCTGGTATATGCATGTACTCCCTCCTACCTCTGCTATACCCTTCCTTTGTGCTAACCACTGGGCAGCTGCCTAGTGAACAAGACAGGCACAGTTCCTGCCCTCAGGCAGTTTAAAGTCCATTTGGGAAGAATACATTTTAAAAACATTTTCATTTGATAGACCTGATATTCCATAAACAGTGGCAAAATTTTTCCACCACAAAGTTTGATATACTAACACTTTAGAATTTGCAACTTGAAATAAGAACATCTAAAGTTTAAAGTGTTAGTCTTTAAAATTATTTTAAGATTAGAATTCTCTGTTGCAAACACAAAGAAGAAAAGGCATCAAACATGAATAATGAGGGATTCTAATTCAGGAGGCACAGTAGGGGAGGAGTAAACTGGGTATTATCCAACACAGTAAACAAGAGCATACAGTTTCAATTATGTGGTGTGTTCAGGTTTAGCAGCACTGCCTCTGCCCTGTGTAACTTTTTGGTTCCCAGTGCACAATCCTCTCTGACAGCTCAGAAATGAACTGAAGCCTCCATGTGATTTGCCAGGATGGTCACAAGAGGCTAACAACCTGCCTGGCTAGAAAGAGGAGTGCAGATCTGCTGAAGAACTGTAAAAATCTTTTTGAGCATTTAATATACAGTATATCTTTTTTTAAAGAAGGCAATCACTATGTTCTTAGCAAAGAGCCCTACATAACAGTAGTTGCAAATAAATAATGAGCTGAGAATTGTGCGCGGAATCACAGACTAAAGGGGACCAAGTTTTAAGGTGGCAGAAATAGTAACTCAGACCTTCACCTTGAAAAATCTTGAAAGAAGGGCCATAGGGGTCACCTTGGCCCAACAATGATCAAGAGAATGTATTTCACTCTGACCACATTACAAATCAAGCCGTAGTTTGCAAAAGTACTGGTATACTGGATAAAGTTCTGAACCTGGCAGCGCTAGGTACATACACCCACAGTTTACACAGATGTTAGGTGGTACTGTTATTAGTGATGAGTAATCTACAACTGTTGCTTGAATTTGTCTTTCACAGTAAGGAAAAGAAACTTTATTTTTAAACTAATTATTGTTAGTATTTTATAGTACTAGGCAACTGAGCTGCAACTTCAACCCTTTTCTGTTTTAAATTTTGACCAAGGGCTCACTAAATTGATAAGAAAATTTCCCAGGCTGGGCTTAAATTTGTGGCCCGCCTGTCCCAGCCTCCAGAGGGCTAAGACTATAGGCATGTACCACCACACCCTGCAAAGAAGTTTTATCCTTAAATGATGAAAGAATTAAAGGAAGACATTAGTGTTACCAGAGATAAGATCAACTGCTTTTCAGTTCATTTTATGAAGGTTATACTCTCAGGTAGATTAGGTAAGGTAACTGTGCTACATTTTACTTTTATCAAAGTGGCCTCAGCTTGCCAACGCTGGTGTTTTCCAGATGCAGCATAAAAGCCATTCACACAAACAAGTGGAGACCATTCATTTACCTATCTGACTGATGGAAAGTATGAATATACAGTGAGCCAGATAAACAGCTCCTCATTGCCACACTGATTTAAAGCTGCCATCTGTAGTGCCAGCACTTGATAAAATAAACACAGGGAGACAGGGCAAGCAGGTACCTCCACAAGGTAATGTGCATCTAGGTTACTGACCCAACTGTTCAAACCATACTGGGAGAGGGAGAGAGGGTCCCAAGCAGCTCCACGGGGAGGCTCAGAGACAGATTCATCTATTTTTTTTTTTTTTTTTTTGAGGGGGTTATTGAACTCAGGGCCTCTTGTATGCTTAGGACATACTATACCACTGAACTTTATTCCAAACTTAATGTCAGCTTTTTAACACTGTGTACAGTGTTTGGCACTCAAGATTGATAAAGGTAGCCAGAGGGTGGCTGTGCTCACCAATTCACAGTAGCAGACTCTGGGAGGGGACCATGAGACTGCTGGTAGCATCTGGGGACCACTCAAATGCCAACTAATGGCTGTTAGTTGGACTGGCCATGATGAATGAACTGTCTGGTGGCTGAGGTGACAGACCCTTCTGGGTCTTGGCCTACCTAAGCCTTCAACAGGCCATGGGCTTGCGAGGTGTGACTCCAGAGCAGCTGAAAGTTCAGCCTAACATCTGCAGTCTTGTTTTCACTTGAAACTCAGGGCTATCTCCTGCTGACTATATATATATATACTTTTTGTTTTGGTACCGGGGATTGAACTCATGACCTCCCATTTGCCAAATAGGCACTTATGCCTCGGAGCTAATGCCCCGTCCCCCATTTTTTTTTTAAGGAAGTACAGACACTGGGAAAGGGACGTAGGACTGGGGAGAAAAGAAAAGTACATCTTTGATTTACTAAAGTTACTCTGAACCCTTACTTTAAAAAAAATAGAAATATAGTAATCAAAGAGAAAGCAGCAATTTAGATGCCTAAAGCAGCAGGCAGAGCTGAGCAAAGGAGGGGTGTTTGATTGATTAATTACATCACAGGGACTGACTCTCCTCAAAACTGATCTCTCCTGTGCAGGGAGCTGAAAAGACTTAACAATTAGTTACTTATGAGTCATCCTCCACTTACCTCACATTCCTTCAAAGTTTGCCCTCAGCCATTTGCACTTACTTAAATATCTACATACACGGCTTTGTTTTTAGAGGGAAATAGTGATGTCTTAGATTTCAGCATCTCAACTGGTCATTTTTGGAAAGCTTAAAAGCCACTTCTCCCTGGTGCAATGCAGAAGGCAGAAGGTAATGGGATCATTTTAGATTTCCCTAGTAGATGCGCCAGTGAGAAAAAAAATGTACAAACTTGGTCCAAGGCATCTGACAAGATGCTACAGCACAGACCCTCAAGAGTGAGTTTCTGTGGACACAACTGTCAGAGCAGTTTCATTTTTTCTCCCTCCCTCCCCTCCTTCTTTTAGAAAAGATGGAGGAGACAGAGGAAGAACACAGTTTCGTTTGGCTCCAGTCAAACAGAGGTGATTTCCCAGATGTCAAAGTATTCTGTTGCTAATTCCTTTTTGAGTACCTAGTTCAATTTTATATGGCCTCTTTAAATGTAATAAGAGTTCTCAAATCATATGGAATTATCCTTTTGTATTTCACAGAAACCCTTTTTACAATTTCAGCAATTGTGCTTTAAAAGTTATTTTTTCAGATCTCAAGCTTACAACTGTGATCTCACCAACTAAACGCTAGTGTGCCTGCCAGTTCACATATTTTCAGGACAAATAAGGTATCCAAAGTCTGACCATCCTATTCCCATCCTGAGGCCTCTCTCTGCACCTGGAGGCTGGCTGGGAACCTGGGCCTTGGTGGAGATTGCGACCTCCCTGGAGCCAATGAGGGAGCCTCACCAGCAGCCTGGCCAGCACTGTTTCCAAGGCCTGACAAGGTCTCATGCCTAAGTAAACAAGTAAGAAATTCTTAGAAACTTTCAGCAAAGGATAGGGTGGGGAGGAGGGCATGGATCTTCAGGAAAGTGTACTAACAAAGCCTGGTTTGCCTCAGGGACTCTAAGGGAAAACACAGGGCAAGCTGCGCCAAGTTTTAACTCGTAAGGTCAACAGGATGGCAATATGGTACACAATGCAGGATAAATTCAGAATTTAAATTTAGGGCACATTTCAGAAAGTGTTTCCTAGAAAACATTTAAAAGACACCAGTACTTAGACTTCTACTTTGAGAAAACCTTCAGCATTATGGATCTAGCCTGGCTACATGAAACGCAGGCAGTAAGCATCAGATCCTTGTTAGGAAAGTGAACATGGATTAACAGGTATTTCAGAGTGGAACCTGTAACCAGGCAAGTATAGGTACAAGATGAGAAGCAACATGGCCATCTGGATGCAAGACAAGAGGAAGATGTTCTACAGAATCCTGTCCAGGTGGGGACAACAGTCCAGCACCACAGGGCACAAAGTGTGGACTTCAATTAAAATGCTGCAGCAAGAGTCAGAGTTTGCCAACTGGAAAAGTGGCAAATCAACAAGAAAATGACTTCTGAGATCCCTAAGAGAAGTCTTCAAAGACAAATCAATATGCACTGGCACAAGTTGTGACACGTAAGACCTCGGAGTAAGGTGGCAGCTTTGCCGATAGGAGCTTACAGCTGGAAAGGACAGGAATTTCTCTTTTCATCAACTTCTATACTGCAATCACATGATGTAGAGGCTCCTAACTTAGAGTAGATTCACACTGTGGAATAAAGGTCAAGCACACAGAAAGGTTAACCAGGCTGGAAGGAGCCCCCACCCAGCTCTGTCTACAGTTTACCACCCACAGAAAGCACAGTGAGAACTTCTTACAAGAAATGACTACTATATAACTACTTAGGACAAAAAATGGGCCCTATTTTCAGAGCCAAAGGTATGACAAAACTGACTTGGAAGCAAATTACAAAAGCAACTCACCTGGAAATCTTGGTCATCGATTCCAAACCTCTCCCGCAGGTTACGGAAAACCATCGGGCAGTATTCCTTGAATTTGAAATGGCTTGGCATGTTTTCTCTGAAATGATCACATTGTGGAATAAAGCTCAAGCACACAGAAAGGTTAACCAGGCTGGCAGGAGCCCCCACCCAGGTCTGCCTGCAGTTTACTGCCCACTGAAGGCACAATATGCTTCACGAAGGTAACACTGTGCCTTTGTCACGGTGCTTTTGGACTGTGATGCCTGAACCTGGCCCACAGGTGACGGCCATTCTCCAGGGAAGAAGGGCTAGAGGGAGGCTGGGTGGAAGGAGATAGAAAAGTAGAGATGTAGGACAGTGAGGAAAGGGCAGAGCAAGCCCAAAGGTGGGCCTGTCACTGCTGTCACCGGGGAGTGAAGTCAACAAAACATGGCCTGCGATGATGGGTTTTATACAAGTACCACATTCTAAATTAACAGGAAACAGTGCCTCGAAAACTCAACCTCTGCACAGTACTATGGGAAAAATGAACATGTCAACTTCACATCAGAACAATGGCCCAGTTAAGAAATTCATGGAGGGCTGGAGGTAGTGCTCACTGGGAGACCACTTGCCTCGGAGGCCCTCGGAGGACCATTTCCAAAACCTCAGAAACGAGCAGACAAAATAAAAATAAATTTCACAATGAATCCTCATCTAGAAGGGATTTATTTGAGTCTTACCTTGTTGTTCAGAACTGCTTCCCTTTTCTGGTTCCACAGAACCACACCTACAAATTATAGCATGCTTGTATCACTGTACTTTGTACCCTAAATTGCAATAATTTGTCTGTGCCGCTGTTCAACTGCTGGGCCGACTGTGAGCCCACTAAGGGCAAAGCTATGTCTTATGTGTCACTGTAGCTCAGCTTTCCACAATATCTGACATGATGCTTGAAGAATAATATAGTGCACAGCACAGCATCAAATTATTAAAATGTACCTAATTCTTCACTGTTCTGTAATATAGTCATTTCTGCCCCCAAAGCCATCATTTTCAAAGTTTTGTGCTCAAAACTCTGAGCAATTTACAGCTTCAAAAATTTAAATTATAACGAGAGCATCACTTTTAACGATACTCACAGAGAACAATATGCTGTATGGCAAAGGATATTATCTCAGAGGTCTGCTGCTGCTCCACTGAAAGTGACAGATGGCTGTGTTTATCACAGGATTAACTCCATCAGCAAAACTGTACTCCCACCCATTGAAAAAAACTATGGGTTACGGAAATTCACAAAACTCATACTCCTGGCAGCCACATCAGTGCTATGAAAAGTACTTACTTGTTAAAAAGGTGATTGTCCACCTTTATCTTTGAATAGGCTTTGAAGTCATCTGGCATCAACATGACAGGAATCTGAACATGGCTCAGTTCATTGATCTAGAAAGAAAGAACATAAAATACTAGAACACAAGGAGCAAATTATTACTACCGAGGTGGGAGAGGCTTGCCTAGCACATATACTCACAAGGGAAACTTGGACACTGGCACTTTCTGCCCGCCCTCTCTCCCTCTCCCACTCCTATCCCAAACTCTCTTCTTGCCTTCCTCACTCCTTGTCAGACTTCACCAAGTGGCTCCCAGCTCCCAGTACAGTTTCAACTTCTACTTCTGATGGTGGGCCTTGGGGCTGCAGGATGGGGAGAGTCCTAGGGGTCAGCTGTTAAGGGCCCTGCTTTTCCTTCATTCCTTCTGTCTACTCCCCTTCCAGATCCTCAACCCAGAGCTCCCCTGATCGCGTTTCCTAGACAACTTCTCTCAGTAAAGAACATGCTATCTGGGCAAGAGGGATTTTCATATCTTGATGTAAATATTTGTTGAATTAATGGTCATGATTTGCTGATTAACAGCCATGACTTATACATTTGCGCACTCAAAGGACAACATCCACATTCTTGTAGTCTTTACCTTTCTTGCAGGAACTAAGATTAAAAATAAATATTGGGTGGAGCTACACCAACAGAAGAACCTTCAGTAAGGAAGAAGGAAATTAGTGGGCCCTGGGACTAAATGCCAGGGGTTTGGGGTGGAAAAGTTAAGAACAAAAGCAATGACTTAGTTCCAGAGGCCAAGTGTAGAATCCAGTTTTGTTTACATTCTTGCGAATGGCAGGTTTGGCTTTTGACACCTGACACTGAAAAACCTGACCTTCCCCTTGGTCAACTGTCTTTGTGTCTTGATTCCTAAACTATACACCTCCCTGGTTGCTAGCAATAAAACCTACTTTAAACATTTGTACTTTCAGCAGAATAGAAGGTGCTTTTAAGGAGTCTCAGTCCAAAAACCAAAACGAAAACAAGAAATAATAACAACAAAATTAAGTTCCTCGATAGAACAGAATTTTTCATATATTGCTCCATTCATGTTATAGCAAAGGAAGAAAATGCAACAAGTTTGAAGCCAGCCTGGGCTACAAAATGAGTTCAAGGTTAGCCCAGACTACAGAGCATCGAGACCTTGTTTCTGAACAGATTGGGTGCATTCAGGGTGGTACGGCTGTAGACAAGGCTGTTTCACAAAAATAAAAATAAAAAGGTAAAGGAAATATCTAAGCCACCTTCCTTTATCCAGTGGGTTTAATCCAAAGGGGCCCTTGTGGCTGCCACACAAGCCTGAAGTTAATGCCAACTGCAGCACTTGCTTGGGTCAAGGATGAGGGGTTTGGAGGTCCAAAGTGATCATAAAATGCTATCTTCCATGTTTGGAGACAGCAGTGGGGGTGGTCTCTGGGCAGAGCTGAGAGTCCACCTTAGTACACTGACAGAGAATAAAGCAAACTTGTGGAGTGACATTAAGCACAGCATGGCTCAGGATTCACGTATACAGACACGATGAGGCTTGGGGTGCTTCGGGTTTGAGGATTTTGCTGATCGAGTTTGGAGGTGAAGAAGCAAGAGAGCTTCAGGAGAATCAGCTGGAAATGAGAAGTTGGTATAAAACACTGGTCCGAAAGAATTTCCACCTCAGTTGATGGGGAAAAATATTCAAATACAAGAGTCCAATACAAAGCAGCTAGGAGAAAGCTAAAGTCTGGACAGGGTGCCCCAGGAACACAGGCCAGGAGTATTCTGTCACAGGTGTGCCAAAAGGGCTTCCGGGGACCGCGGCCTGATGTAGCTCAGGGAGGATGTGGAGGTGTGCCTGGTGACATACAATGTCTGGGAAATGAGTAATGCACTTTAGCTACTTCTACAAGTCTCTTCTTCATAAATCAGACTATCCCAAGAGTAGAGAATGTTTGGTTCTTGTTATTAAAAGGGACAAGAAACGAGATGAGAAACAAGATGAGATGACAAATCAAGGCTAATTATGCTCACACCTTGATTTCCATACATTAGCATTAAAATTAAAAGAATACCAGAGAGTTCGCCTGTCATTCTGAAGATAATAAAATATCCTGGTGTAGCTGTATCTGTGAAGAGTAATAGCTTGATGCTGAGTTATGTTAGCTATTTCATGGCTAGTCTATCTCGCCTCTCATTTACAGTAAGTATATTTCGCTTGGATTTCTCCACCCTGTCAAACTCTCCCCCTGGGTGACAGGCTCAGTTTAATAACCTGTGAACAAATGCTTCATGAACCAGAGGATCTACTACTTAAAAGAAGCTTTAAGTTAGTAATCAATATTTTTTTCAGCAATGTACCCATGATCCGTTATATTTATTCAATAGGCATGTTTTATTTTGTTGTGGATGGGAGTGAGCAGTCATTCATCAGCTTTAATGAAATTATTAACTTTAGCACTGCTTGATAACTGAAAGGCATTTAACTTCCTGGGTAGCACACTCTTGTAATCTCTTATTGTGCCATTATCCAAACTGAGGTTCAAACTCGTGAACAGATGGCAGGTAATAACAATGACCTAGCATTTAAATAAGGTTAAATTAACCCTATTTGTTAAATTCTGTATTTTCAAAACAAAATCCTTGACTTTCAAAGTCTTCAGTTTGAGAAAAACTTATTACATTGGCATTCTAAGTAGCCCTGCATTCTAAATAGCCCGTCCCAAAACTGGCAACAAAACTAGCAACAGGATATCATCAGTTTACACTTATTTTTGGAATTTTTTGCCTGTGTTTATAGATACTTAAATTTAGAACTCATGCATATATTTGTGTAGGTTATGTGACAGTCATGGAAGGAAACAAGAAAATTTATGTTAACCATTACTATTTTGAAGAAAAGATTAATACACTTCCCCTGCAGGAATAAGCATACATTATAAAATCCAAATAGTTTTTAATTTATGGAGATAAAAGTGATTTTGGAATTTATTAAAATTTTTTAGGTTAGTTAAACTGAAAGCATTGGTTATATCATTCAGGGCACATGTGTGGTTCTTTTGAGTTGCAAATATTTAACAAGTTCTTCCCACAAAAGGGCAATACCACTTCACAGTTGTGAACTGCTTACCAGTTGTCAGATCACTCTGGCAAACACACTTTCATCCTCCCTTTGCACTGAGTATCACATTCACATCCTACACAGCCCACCTTATTTTGTTAATGTATAGAAACACTTCTGCACAAAGGCTGTGTGTGCCAGGCCGCCCTGCCCGGGAAACCCTGCGTTCTGTGTATGCCGTGCCTGGTACCCGCAGGACACAGGTGTGGACCAGCATAGCCTTTTTGCCTGCCATCAGCCAAAGAGGCTGAAAACACAGGGCCCAACATGGGACACAAAATAAAGGGACTTTGTTGTCAACATCAATAGAAAGAAGGCCAAAGAGGGACGGGAGGGCTAGTACAAAGGTTTAGTACAAAGTGCACAAATGCTCCCAATTGTATTATAACTCAACAGTGAAGGCAGGGGGAGGGCGGAGAGGAGTGGGCATGGCGGGGCAGGAGGAGGAGGTCGGGAGACTCCTGCTGTCTCAGCTCTGCTCTGCCTTCATTCACTCAATACCTGGCATTAACCTCACTGCTAACACTCACTGGACATGTGCCAAGAGCTGTGTTAAACACTCTGGACACAGTATCTTATCTGATTTTTACAGCTCAATACAGTGGGTACTATTATTATCCCCACTTTCAGATAAGGATATTGAGGCTGGGTGAGATTACGTAAAATACCCATGGTAGAGCTGCACCTGGAACCCAGCCTCAGCCTAAGTTTTCCTCAGACAACTCAACTTCAGTTGCCCAGAAAGAGAATGCAGAGAGTTGAACAGGCTGAGTCTAACACCCTTTTGAATTCCTGCTGACCTATGAGGTTTAGATTCACATCAAGTTCTTAGGAGTAGCTACTACCTGAAATTTATATTTCACTGTTAGAAGGATTTTTTTTCCTAATGTAGGAATTAAACAGTAAAAGCATGTTTAATTGAGTACGCACCATGGCCTACAATTGCCCACTGTGGTTTCAATAGCACAATCTAAATTTGGAAGGGCCTGTGTCACTAAACAGCTATCATTTTTCTGACATTCCTTGTAACTTCAAAAATGGGAAAATAAATATTCCTCAAAGCTCCATTGAAATCTTAATGAATCATAAACAGTATTCTTGAAGGATGGGAAATCAATTTCCAAGGTAATTATTTCTTAGAGACCATTATCTGAGTTTTTCTTTATGAAAAAAAATTACGTTAACATAAAACACAGTAAAATATGTGGGCCTTTGCTTTTAAAATACTACACAGCCCAGTTAAGAAAAGGTATCTCTGTTCCTTTTCCCAGCATGACATTCAAATTTACATCAAAACCAATGCTATAAAACACAGGTTTGTTTTTTATTTTTTTGTGAGCTAGATCTGCTGAATGCAGAGGGTATCACTCTTGCAGAAATGAGACTGCACTCACAGTGGCAAGAAAATAGAGGTTGCTATTAAGTGCAAAAAAATGGGAATAATAAATAGCTGCAGGACAGGGAATAAGTAAGGGAGACCCAGCTGGTCAGGGTTGTGAAATTAATCCACACAGAGGCGTCCTCACACAACCATTTCATGCTGTGACATTTAAAAAATAAACCTAATTTATATGATTCTTAAGTCAAGCAAAGAATATGCTCATAAATTGCACAGCATTATTAACGACAATTAATTCAGATACATTCACTCTAAATACTGTGTTCTTAGACTAATACATAATTAGCAATTGGTTTTCATTCAACCAAGAATGTACAAACAGGGCCAAAAAAGATCTCTCACATGGCTGGGGACACTGAGATATTTAATCTGATTAAAAACAATTTTCTACAAATTATGACTCACTGAGATGAAACAGGACACAGCTAGTGTGGGCAGCTGCAGGCTACACTGCTGTGCCTAAAGCCCCTCTAAGGAAGCCAGGCCTGTATCTGAGCCCAGCCGAGGCTGCACGGCGAGACCTGTAGCCGGAACCCCGTTGCAGGGTGCAGAGCTGTTTTGGCAGGCTGTCCATTCA